TGTTGTTGTGTTCTGTTCTTGGCAGTGTTGGCTGGGGGCAAAATATTCACTAAAACCCTGGGAAAAGTGACTTATGAGAGATGTTTTCGGGAATGAAATAAAAGGATCAGTAGCAACGTGGATACAAAATCGGCTGAATAACAAGGAGCAGAGAGTAATGGTTAATTGCTATTTTTCAGGCTGGAGGGATTTTCAATTGTGGTGGAGTTACACAGAGTTTATAACGGAACCCTCGTTTTTCCATATGATATACGATCTTGATCTTGGTAGGCAAGAATCAATTTCAAAATATAGTGACAACACAAAACTTGGAAGAATTGTATACTATGAGGAAGACCGTGTCAAATTAGTGGAGAGGGTGGATAGTTGGCAGAAGTTCATTATTGAGAAATGTGAAGTAATGCACTTTGGTACAAAGAATATGGAAAATTATAAAATAAAGGATATTATTCTTAGGGTGGAGCAGACAGTCTTGGGTGTACGTGTACATAAGCATTAAATGTGGCAGGACAGGTAGAAAGTTGTTTTACAAAGAAAAAACATACAGTAATCTAGGCATTGTTAATAGGGATACAGAATACAAGAGCAGGGGATTATGCTGATATTATTTAGAACACTGGTTAGACCTCAGCTGGGGTATTATGTATAGTTCTGGGTGCCATGCTATAGGAGAGAGGTGAACACATTATAACAGTGCAGAAGAAGTTTACGAGAATGCTTCCAGCAACGAGTAACTTCAGTTAAGAGGATGGATTTGAGAAGTTGAAACTGTTTCCCTTGGAGCAGAGGAAGGCTGAGGGGAGATTTGATGGAAGTCTTCAAAATCACGAGGGCTCTAAATAGAGCAGATAGGGAGAAAAACTTCCTGCTTGAATAAGGATTGAAAACCATAGGGCCTAAATATGGAGTGTTTTGAAAAGGAGGAAAATATGAGGTGAGAAATATTTCTTCACACAGCGAGTAGTCTTGATTTGAAATGTACTGCCTGGGAGTGTGGTGGAAGCAGGTTCAAATGAAGCATTCAAGAGGGCATTAGATGATTTTTAAGCTGAAAAGAACACACAGGGCTACGGGGAAAAGTAAGGAATTTGTCACTAAGTTAAAATGGTCACATTGCCAGTGCAGACACAATGGCTAAATGATCTCCTTCTGCACTATAACGATTCTGTGATTCTGTAAAGTGATTGTATTTCTTGGAGTGGCTATGTGAGATCTTTAATTTTGAACAAACATATAGGACCTCAGTTCTACATCTCAGTCAAGAAAAAGCACCTTCAATAATGCAACACTTGCTCAGCACTAAAGTGAGCGTCAGCCGATGTTAATTGGATCCCAAGCTGATGGTGTAGTATGAAACTAGATGTGAATTCTTTTCTTGATAGCTAGATTATTTAAAGTATGCAGCATTACATTTGTCTGTTTCTTCCGTACTGACACCCAGGCTTAAATTTGCTCCCAAGTTGGGAGTGCAGAGTCTGGAGAAAATGCCCTTGACAGTCAGATTTTTGTTCTGCTATGGGGTAGGGTAGATGATAACTGGTGTTGCGCCACTTGTTGGCCCCTGAGTAAGTGCTTGGATGTGGTCAAAGGGCTGTCGTGTGTAGAGGTGGCCTGCTTAAGAGGTTTGGCTTGATGCTTTGGAACTTTGTTGCAGCTGTTTAAAAGAAATAAGAGAAAGGTGTCCTCCAGCTCGTGCCCCTCATAGCCCTTCTTTCCTTCCCCACAGACTTCCCTTTCTAACCCTTGCCACCTTATGTTCCCCTTGTGACCCCTTATACCCTCCATGTTAAACTGTGTCCCTCCATCCACTTCCATGCTCCTTTAAAGCCAATCTGTGACTTTACAGCTAGCCCATGCCAACACATACCCTCAATCCACTAATCATTACTGTTACAATCTTTGTGCCAACTCACCCAAGATTTACTGTGGGCAGACCCCAGGCTCTATGCTGAGGCAATATTGGAAGAAGTTCTAAGGACGCAATGTTACCCTCCCTGGACAAGTTGGCCTTGGAGAGACATTTATCTCCTTATCTCTTAATCTGCTTATCTCCATCTCAGCAATTAAGTGCCAGGCAAGAAGATCCATTCGGGACTTTCTGCATGCACCAACAATTAAGGCCCTAATGCGGCCAGATATTGGTCACTTAAGGACCTTCCCAATTATCTGCCTTCTCAGCAGGTGAGAAAAATCGCTGATTTCCCAACTCGGTCATTGGGGAAATCTGTTTCCAAGTTTGCAGATGCCTCCATTTGCTCCAATCTGGAGCCAATTGCAAACAAGGACTGAAGAAAAGCAAATGACTTCTGAAAGTCACCCCCTGACTGTACCATCCTTGTGACCCCCCTCTATTTCATGCCATAAGAATCAAAAGAAAAAGACTTACTTTCTTGCTGTTGGATCCCTGAATAGTAAGTCTCGACAGGTGGTCTTTAAGACCCAGAATATACCAGCTTCTGATTTGCTGGCAGCTCCTGGTGAGTTGGGATGCCACTGTTGAGGCCTGTGATGTGGTGAGTTAGTTACCATCTAACCTACCTGCCCACTTTTAGTCTCAAAAGGAAAATTCACAGCCAAAGTCTCTGTCGATGGATTCACTATTTTAAATAAAGCACACTCATTGATAACATAAATCACTCTATTTGACTCTTTCATCTCTTATAAAAATAAGCATTTGAATTCTTGGCCATTTCAAAGACTTTAGTAGTACTAAGTACTTACAAGTACTTAGAGCTGTTGATCAATCTGTAAATCGTCAAGGATTCCACTCTAAGAAAGTTCAGCACACATCCTTTAAAAATAGTCCTCATATTTTTTCTAGAGATGGTGAAAAAGCGATTATTTTTTAAACTGCAGGATGCAACTGGACATATTAAAGTACAGCCACCTTCAGTGAGATCCCATTTTCACTCATGAGATGCCCAAAGCACAACCTGTGTCCAAACACACTGCCTGAGTGTTTTTTTAGAGAGTTAGGGTACCCTTTCAGGAGAGACTGCACCCTTGGAGCTTGGACACTTTTAGCAGGGATCCATTGCCTTTAAGGGGAGGCCAAGTGCTCTTTGGAATTATTAAAAATAGACTGGAATGTGTGTTTAAAAGTGCATAAATTGAATGGAAATGTCATTTGTATAAATTGTTAAAGATTTAATAGTTGAAGAAAGTTAGATGTAATGAATGTGTTTTTTTTTCTGAGTTGGAGTTCTTTCTTCATGCAGTGAATCCATCAGTAGACAGGAGAATTTTGTTATATTTTATACCAGCATGAACCCTGAAGTTTGCCAGGCCGGTTGGTTAAGTTGGACCTATGTTGGCATTGGTACTATAAAAGTCAATGATGGCAAGTAGAGGGACATGGCTTGGCATGGAGGGTTTGAAGGGCCATTGGGGGTCGGTGGGGCATGAGGTGGTATGGGTTGGTGTGATATGGATTGTTTCAGTAATGAAGACTGGGGAAAGCTGGGGAGAAATGCCAACGTACCAAGGCCAGCCCTTCATACAGCCTGGCTCTGCGCATTAGCAGCCCTATGCCAGATGGTGGGCCTGACTTCACAGTTATCCCACCCGCCCCCCCCAGAAACATTCCACCAAAATAAAATCCCAACCCTGCTGCATGACCTGTCACACCAGACTTAACCAAGAATAGAACAGCCCTCAGGAAGCGATAAGTTGATAGCAAGCAATTCTTTGTATTGCTGTGAGATGCTGTTTTCTTTCAACCCCTGTCTAGCTCAGGACTGCTTTTGAACAATTTGAAGAGATTCTCACCACAACCCACTGTGCCATTCCACAAAGGATACCAAGCTCTGCCTGCAGCTTTTTTGAATTTTTCAAGTTAAAAGGTTAAATTTCTTTCTGTGTTGACCTATAAAAAAAATGCTTGCTAAGTTGATTGCATGGAGGATCTTCCATTGTATTTGAATGTCATATTGGCTTTTTCCAGAGTACCATCTTACGATATAACCTCTCCCGGTATCTGATAGCTAAATCTATATTTGTTTCTGTTGCTTCCCATTCTTCTTCATCAATGTGCATATTTCTATCTTTTTGAGCCAAGCAGCGAAATACTGGCTGGAATTTTACCAGATGGGAGCTAGGTCATGACATTGAATAAATGAATGATTTATTGTCACAAGTATCTTGAAGACGTGATGAGAAGTGTTTTATCTCCACAGTGCGGCGTCATTTTGAGTTACAATAAGGATAAAAATACATTATTTCATTAAACGTTCATCTTCTATTCAAATTGGGGTTTCAAGTACAGCTTCAAGGCTTCTGCAAGGTTTCTGATCCTCAAGGAGTCTCCGCTCCGATAATAGCTACGATGATGCTGATATCTCAGGTGACCCCAGCTCTGTTGCTGCTGCCACTAGGAATCCAGGCTTCAGGCCTACCCCTGCCAGCAGTACCCGCTCTGGGCACTGCTGTTGCCAAGAGTCCAGGCTCTGAATCTATGCCACCAGGAGTCCCTGCTCTGGGCTCCATGACCGCCAGGAGTCCCTGCTCCAGGCACCGCTTTTGCCAAGAATCCAGGCTCCAGGCCTACTGCTGCCAGGAGACCTTGCTCCAGGCACCACCACTGCCAAGAGTCCAGGCTCTGGGCCTATGGGATCAAGTGCAGGACTTGACCCCATCTGAACAGACTGTGTGACCACATTGGCAATCTTCCTAGTGGCAGCCTCTTTGATGGCATCTGACCAGGCTTGCTTTCCATGCTGCAGCCTCAGAAGACCACAGGCCACCAGGAGGGGTGACTGCTGCTGAGGCTGCGAGGAGAATGAATGGCCAGGCATCTACATTGTGCGGCCTTCTCATTGTAGAAGACGTTTCACTTCTGCAGCCTGACAGGTACGCAGGTCCTGATGAAGGCTAACCCTTCCAGGGATAGCATTCGGGTGGCAGGGACTGCCATTGTTGCCATGGGCTCCATCCTTGGGCTGTGAAGCCTCTGGGTGTGATGGCCCTCCCATTTTGGGAAGCTGCTGGTTGTTGCTGGTGGCATGTCTCCCTTCGTGGCAGTGGCTGCTGCTGGTTCCATTCCCACCAATGGTAAAATGGGCCAGACAGCAGGATGGCATTGGGTAACCCTCCAAGGGTGGTTAGCCAGAATTTACCAATGCAACTCCATCCCATTCTCAGCCCAGCAGCCAGGGTTGGTAAAATATCTCCCATGGTACGTTGTCCTTTGTCTTTTATTTTGGCCTTCTTGTGATTCTCCGAATGTGAGAACCATACAGTGTCAATAAGGTGAATTCTGTACTGAATTCTGTTGATCAGATTTCATTAAGCATAGTAGGTTCATATATGATTAGGATTCTAATTGTGTCATTGCGCAGAAGGAAAAGACAGAAAAACTTGTAAATGCAACAGACTGGCCCAATTTATTTTGTTTGCTTCGACACATAGGACAAGTATGAGCAGTACATTTTCAAGATTTTCTTTACTATATTCCTTCTGATGAATGAAATCCTGTCTCAGCCAGCCTGATATCTTGGACAGCCAGAAAAATTCAGACAGTAATGGCAGATGTTAAGTAAGACAAGGTGGTGAGATTTTATAGATCATTGCTGCTGACCAAGGTTGATCAGAACAGTCTTATAGATCTTTAATCTCAAGCTATGTCATGGTGGGTGTAGTGATTTCTGCCTTGATTTCTCACTCGGTGACAAAGTGTAAAGTATATGCTCTTAGCTTGGGTCTTACCCAATCGGTTACACTTCCACCTCTGAGTCAGGACATTGTGGTTCAAATTCCAAACTCCACACTGCAGATGAGTACATAATATAAACTAACATTTCAATGTAAAACAAAAGGGATTGCTGCCATACTAGATGTGCTGTCCTTGAGATGATGCATTAAACTGAGTCATGAGCTGTACTTTGAGTTGGATGTAAAGGTCAGGTGCTACCTGAACAACCAGACTACTTGAGGTATTGACGGTTGAAACTGCATAAAAAACCTTTCTTGTAATTGATATGGTCTTTGTTTCCGATTGCTGGCTCGTGAGATGGACCTGCTATACATTCTGAAACTGAGCAACTAGTTAGGACTTGCTGATGTTCTAGCACCTGCCATCATGACAGTGGAGTGCTGGGTTGTGTTGGGATCCTGTATCAACATCTGTTCGCTGAAATTGCAGTTTTTGCTAAGCCATTGGTGGTGCCATTGAGATCCAGGGAGTTCTGACTCAAAGGGCAAGAATCTGGGACTCCTCCAGTGCTGGGAACAGAGATGGGCAGGAGCTGAAACATTGATGTTACATAAATAGTTATGTGGGTAATATACAAGGACTCTTACATAGGTTTGTCGCTAACACTAGACAGTGAGGCCACGGCTGTGATTATGGTTTTGCTATCGATATAAATCTTAAAAATTTCTGGGGATCCAATTTTGATCCATGCAGAGAACCAAGTATTCACTCATGAAAGAAATTCTTAATTATTTGGTCCCTGCCTATTTGCTCATTTTCAGCAAGAGAAATGGCAGATGCTACAGTTATTATCAACAACGCACTTCAGTCCTTGGGGAAGAGCTGTCCATGAACTTGGCCAAATGACATTTCTCTGCCCTAGTTACTCCTCTTCCTTCTAAGACAGATTGCTTTGAAAACCTCTCTATACGACTGTGAGGCTGACTTTCACAATGCATGCATTATTTTGATGAGCAGTAGGGTCCCACATTGTGATCTAAAATTGTTATGTAAAAATGTTGTGGAGAATATTAGAAAAATGGGAGAAAAATGTTTGAAAGCATTGAGCCAACAATATGTATGTTAACTGCTCAGCCAATGATCTTATTCCCTGTCCCTAAACTGCTCTCCCCTTTCATTTTAAGTTTGATTTGGTAGAGGAGTTAATCTACAACATTTTTTATGAAAAATCTGCCTGTAAGACAAAATAAATACAAGTACAAACTAAATACAAATACATAGCGATTAAGATAGCTAACTTCAGTACCTCGCAGTACCTATTTGGTAACAGGGTGAATGGGGCTGACTGGATTGCCCTGCCCAGAATCAACATGGATTCAATGGGCCAAATGGGCCTCCTTCTGTTTTGTTTAGATTAAAAGGCTGGAATTTAAAGCAGAGATGATGGGCTGCCCACTGGCTGAGAAGAAGGAGCAAAGCCTGTCTCTGATGGCCAGATGGCCAGGGTAGTATTTTACAATCTGTGGGTGTTTAACTGCTAGAGCTTGTTGCATCCATCCTTTATAAAAGGATGTCCTGCCTCCAAGACTGGCTGGTAGTGCCACCAGGCACTGTGAGTGCTGCTGAAACTGTTGTCAGTCTCCATCAAGGAGCAACAATGAACACCGGACAAGCACATGAGTGGGCAACTTCACCTAGACCAGTCAGACAGGCCCAGGGAGGGGAACAAGAGGCCAAGTTCAGAGATGAGAGTGCAAACAGTCTCTGGGTTGGTCCTCTGTTGGGTACAGGGTGCCAGAAGGGGAGGGTCACCTCACTTAAACTAGAAGCCAGTCCTGTCTACCCAGAGGTAAAATCTCAATGGAGGCAGTTAGACAACAATCCCTCATTTCTCATGCAACTTGATTTTACTTCCCACTCCCAAATGCCAGTCCGCTGCATGTTTGGGGGAAGGTTGGTATAAAATCCCAACCCATGGCTCTGGACATTACATCCATTGTTTTGACTGGCATTATGCACTTCATTTAGATAGTAAACAGCTGTGAGCCTTTTAGAAAATCCTCAGATTAACAACAGAAGTGTATTTTCTTAACACCATACATGGAATATATGACCCTTGCACGAAGTCTCATGACTGGAAATGAGACTTCCACTTTCTTTCATTGATCATTGGAAGGCTCAATCTTCATAGAGGGTGATTTTTAATTCCATCACCTTTGGTGAATTTAGCAGTGGGAGGGCATTTACTAGAGCAATCTGGAGGTGAGCAGGGAACCTGCAAATTTCCCACTTCAACCCCATTTAAGACCATGGCAGGAAGGCCTGTGGACAGATTCGCCCCCAGTACAGTCCACTTAAGGGCCTCATTCCACTGGTATTAGCTTAATGCTGGGTAGGTGTCTTGCCTTTTGAGCAGCATAACAAGCAAACCTTTGGCGGGTGCTTGTGGGCTCCCATGGGATGGGTCCCTTCTTTAAAGATACTCAAAAGATACATGGGGCGGCACGGTGGCTCAGTGGTTAGCACTGCTGCCTCACAGTGCCAGGGACCCAGGTTCAATTCCACCCTTGGGCGACTGTCTGTGTGGAGTTTGCACATTCTCCCCGTGTCTGCGTGGGTTTCCTCTGGGTGCTTCGGTTTCCTCCCACAGTCCAAAAATGTGCGGGCTAGGTGGATTGGCCATGCTAAATTGCCCCTAGTGTTTAGGGATGAGTTATAGGAGGATGGGATGCTCTGAGGGTTGATGTGGACTTGTTGGGCTGAAGGGCCTATTTCTACACTGTAGGGATTCTCTGATCTATGATCTATCAATGGCCTTGCCCTACCATCAGGAATGGAGTGCCTGCTGAGATCCGTCCCCTGCCCTTGCACTCACAGCCCAAAAACCTCTCCTGCCATCACTCAGCTGTGACCCATTTGGCTTTGGATGGCAGCAACCACTGCCTGCTTGGTGGTGCTGGTGATCAGTAAAACTGGCAGCAGCTCTTGATAAGCAAGACTTTCAACTGTGTGGTCATTGATCCTTGGGTTAACCAGTCACTGTCCAGTTTGGCAGGCCTTCCCCAACAGAGGTGAAAGGTGGCTGTCTCTGGCCCCCACCAGCTACTGGACGACACCCTTGTCAACTCCATTAAAGCCATGATGTGGAGTTGCTGGGGTTGGGCTGAGCTGGACAAAGTCAGAAGTCACACGACACCATACTATAATCCAACAAGTTTATTTGAAATCACAAGCTTTTGGACCATAGCCCCTTCGTCAAGTGAAGTGAGAGAGAAGCACGCAGAACACAGAATTTATGGGCAGAGAGATCAAAAGCAGAGAGATCGAATCTAAACAAAAGTCAAAGGTCTTAAAATTGGAGGTAACCAATTTAAAGGTGAAGTCAGAAAACAACTGTTTCACGCAGAAAGGGTGGTGGAATTCTGAATTCATGCTACCAAAAGAATGTGGATGTTGAGCAATTGAAAATGTTAGAACGGAGGTAGATAAATTTGTTTCAAATCAAGTTTTCAAGGGATATTGAACAAAGTTGTGTCAATGTTAGCTGAGGCATTAATGAGCTATGCTGTAATTTACTGGCCTAAATTGTGAATGGCCTACACCCATTCTTGTATTCTTACTTAGACATTGCTTCCAAAATTATGGCAGGGTTAAATTGTACTCATGAGACTGTGGAGGCACACTTTTTTACCAAGTGACCGAAAAACAAACGTGATTTCTGAATTGCTCCTTGTGACATAAAGTTCCAAAAACTATATCTGAAAATTAATATATAACAAACTTTAAAGTACATCCCTAGTCCTCATTGTTGCTGTTTTACCCCACCAGTTAGCGCTAAAAGCAGTTGTGAAGTCCAGTCCTTGTAGTTTGACAGTCTAGTCAATAAAAGACAATTCATAGATTTAAATTATCTTTTCACACCCTTTTATTTGAATCTTAGAGGCTTGCAATATGGATGGAGGCCATTTGACTTTTTGGGAACACAAATATTTGTTGAATATCTTGATCATTCCTTTATTGTTCACAAGAAGTGTGTTCTCTGCACCCACCACTCTCTTAATTTCTGACTATTGTTACCCTGATTACTGTTATTGCTTTGTTTTAATACGTTTATAAAAGCTGTTAGTATTATCTTTTCAATTATTGGTCAAAACTTCCAGATTTCCTTTGGGCCCTCCCAGTCTCCTTTTGTCCTACCCGTGGCAATTTCTATCTTCTTGCATACTTCTTGCATTGAGTGGTTTCATATTTGGGGGATCTGATTGATAGTCCATTGCTTTATATTAGTTTGTCAACCAAGAAGATAGATATAGGCAGAGCAATAGACGTTGGTACATGGACTTCAGTAAGGCCTTCGACAAGGTTCCATGTGGTAGACTGATTAGTAAGGTTAGATCACATGGAACCAGGGAGAGCAGTCCAATTAGATTCAACATTGGCTTGACGGTAGGAGACAGAGTATGTTGGTAGACGGTTGTTGTTCAGGCTGGAAGTCTGTGACCAGCAGTGTGCTGCAAGGATCAGTGATGTGTCCAATGTTGTTATTCATTTATAGAAACAATTTGGATGAGAATAGAGGAAGCATATTTAGTAAGTTTGTGGAGGTACAGTGAATAGTGAAGAAGATTATCTAGAAGTACAACTGGATCTTCATCAGCTGGGCAAGTGTGCTGAGGAATGGCAGTTGGGGTGTAATTTAGATAAATGCAAGGTTTGCATTTTGGTAAGACAAACCAGGACTTACACAGTTAATGGTAGGGCTCTGAGGAGTGTTGTCAAACATAGAGACCTATGGGTTGCAAGTACATAGTTCCTTGAACGTGGCGTCACTGATAGACAGGGTGGTGAAGGAGACATTTTGCATGGTTGCCTTCATCGGTCAGACCTTTGCATATAGGAGTTGGGACGTCATGTTATGGCTGTACAAGACATTGGTAAGGCCAGATTTGGAGTACTGCATACAATTCTGGTCGCCCTGCTATAGGAAGGATGTTAATAACTTGGAAAGTGTGCAAAAAAGATTTACAAAGATGTTACTGAGACTGGAGGCTTTATGTTATAAGGAGAGGCTGGAGAGGCTGGGACTTTTTTTTTCCCTGGAGCATAGGAGGCTAAGGGGTGACCTTAAAGAGGTTTATAAAATCATAAGGCGCATAGATAAGGTGAATAGCCAAGGTCTTTTCCCTTGGGTAGGGGAATCCCAAACTAGAGGGCATAGGTTTAAGGTGAGCAGGGAAGGATTTAAAAAGGACCTGAGGGGCAACTTTTTCACACAGAGAA